AATTTTCTAATTTGTTTTTCTGTAAGGGCTTTTTCTGGTCTAGCCCAACCTTTGACTTTTCTTGCACTCCTGGATTTAATTTGATCCTTGAAAAAATTTAAAAGTAATATAAAAAATAATATAAAAAATGATATAAAAAAGTTATGAAAAGATGATATAAAAAATGTTATGAAAAGTTATGAAAAGATGATATAAAAATGTTATGAAAAGATGATGAATAAAGTATTATTGTTATATAAAAATAATAAGCTCAAAGAACTTACATCGTGAATATTCATAGCGATCGTATTCCATTGCATAAGAGCTTGATCGAGATCACGACGCGTTCCCCACATTTCAATTTGCTATATATAGAAAAGATAAAATCAGATATGAAGAAAAATAAAAGTCTTTGAACTAACTATTTTACCCCTTCAGTATCATTATAACTCATGTGCGTATTTGTTGACTCTTCAATACGTGATAAATTGATCTTCCTATCACCTAGAACTAATTTTACATCGATATTTGGTGGAATCTAAAGTAACAAAAGTTTCTCGAAATTATAATATTTTTATAAACAATAAAAGCTAAAGATTTAAAAAATGACTAGTTATAATTTACCAGCCATATTTCATCAGGCATTCTTCTAAAAGGAGATGTGGCACACTCATCATGCCTTTGTTGCGAACGCGGCTGTTTCCACTCTCGAGCTTCTTCTTCCTCATAAAATACATTATTATTATCGTTCAAAGAGTTATTACTATAGACCATGAAGAAAATAAATTTAGTAGTCGACTCATGTACATGTAGAATTTAAATTAATGTCTAAGTAATGAAGTTAAATTATATTCCTTTAAATACTTTTGATGAAGTAATTATAGTCGTATATTACTATTAGATAATGATTGTGAAATTCAATAACGTCATTAAATGCATTTTTTACGTGTAATTCTGTCAATTTTTCAAAACTGATTAATAGGATCGGTTAACAATTTTATATTAATTATTTATACAATATAAAATACAAATAAAATTACAATAAAATAGTATATTTAGAAATATTAATAAAAATATTTCAAAAATCAATGCTACAGTATTACGTTAACTTTCTCTTAAAGAGATTATACTATGTTTAAATTATACATAAAAATCTATTTAATATTTTATATTGAAGTTTTTATTAGTACTGTAAATTACTGTATTTTTTAATTTCTACGTGTAAAGTTATAGATTAAGTTTTTTTTTTTTTTTTTTGAATCAAATAGTATTTAAATAATTAAAATAGTGAATACTACAATTTCAAATTTCTTAAAAATTTCGCGTATAAATATACATATTAGTAAATTTCTTACTTTACATTAGTGTACGAAGCATAGTCCTTGAAAATCAGGCTACCGAAAATATCTCCGAAATTAATATCTCGTGACTGGAAATTTAGAGACGCCACGAAATACAAGTTTTGAAATTTCGACTATATCTTGAAGCATGTTCGGCCGAAGGTCATTAAGAATGATATAGAAAACAACAAAGGTGAGTCACAAAGAAAAGGCTTAGTATAATTAAGCTTTTTAAGCTTCGCTATTGGTTCATAAAGTTATTTAGTAACTTGAGTAAGCTTGGTTACGACATTTATGTGCGAGTAAAGGGGACATAAGAATACTAACCCTGATAATTTTCCACTTATTATACGGTATATCCTTGACCGAATCACCGCCTCTGGCGTGTTGTCTTATCCCTATTTTCCGTTCAAAAAATTATTATAAGTTAAAATCATCCCGTGATACTATTAATTAAAAACCCGGAAACCTAACTTTTACTTTGTAATGATTATATATTTAAGCAATTTACTAATTGATTTTAGAATTATTACAAGTCAATAATGAAAGTAGCATTAAACATTACGTAAAGAACTAAAATAAAAATAAGTATCAAAGTTATTTAAGCAATAAAGAAGTTTTAATTGATCTGTCAAAAAAAAAATTTTTTTTGTAATGATATAAAAATAATATTAAATGATCTTGAATCTTTTTGTAAATATAATAACGATACGAAAGATTTAGTAAACTTCATTTATTTTTTTATTTATTCATTTTAATTATTTATATATTTTTTATAATATCAACGATTATTTAAGTAACAGGTTTTATCATGACTTTTAAAAGATCACACCCCACGGCAAAAATACTATTCCTGATGGATCGGCAATACCGATCTTGATGGAGTTAAAAAAAAAAAATTTTCTTTGAGGCTCTAAAAACGAACCTTAATCCTAACTTTTTTCGTTATAGTAATATAGTATTTTGGAGGCCCTTTTTTTTAGAACCCTATCAGGAATGATACGTATATAAATCGATTTTTTTTTTTCCCACCCTATCAGGACGATCCATCAGGGATGGTATTTTTGCCACCTCACGATATGCTATTTGGACTTTAAGTATAATAATATAATATAGGCAGTCTATGATAATGTAGACAGTCTATGATAATGTGGACAGTCTATATAATATAGGCAATATCGGCGTCTATGACAACCAAAATAAATTTGACACGTCTTTTGAGAAATACTAAAAAAGTTTTGCCATGCCATCAGTCGCAAATCATTCACATCCACGTATATCATTTTTAATTTTTTTAAATTTTGATTGAAGTTATCTTAGTATCCATCTAACCAAATTTGATGAACTTTTGATTTAGAGATCAATAGAATTCAAACAAGTTTATCGAATTTGGTCAAGTGAATGTTGAGGTGTCCTCGATCAAAATTTTATAAAATTTTAAACGCCTATTATTACTTGTTTTTAAACTTTGAAGGTACTCTCGACATTCACCTTACCAAATTCGATGAACTTTTCTTTTTTTGAATTCTATTTATCTCTAAAATTAAAATAAAATAAAATAAATAAATTTATCGAATTTGGTCAAGTGGGTTCCGATCTATCTTTTATTAAAGTTTAAAAACAATCTTTATACTATGTACTAATTTTATAATAAGCGTTTAAAATTTTGAAGATATCTCGACATCCACTGACAAATTTGATAACTTTTTTTAAATTCTAATGATTTTTATAATTAAAATAATAATAATAATAATAATCGAATTTAGTCAGAAATATCTCTGATCAACGTTTAAAAAAATTATTAAAAATTAAAAAGTGATCTATGGGAGTGTGGCATTATTAAAAAAAAGGTGTGAAAATATTGATTCACTAAAAATATATTTATCTTTTAATCCAATAATAATATTTACCTTTTAATCTAATAATATATTTGAGCGTTGCAAAGTGAAAACCTGTAATTGTATTTAATGATTTACTACGATCAGTTACAGGCTCTTAATTATTTAATAATTGAGTCCTTATAGCAAAAGGTGACTTTTGATCATTTTAGTTTTACAGATCCTTTAAACTTTGATTGTTCATAGTATAAAACAAGCAGATATTTTTATTATACATTAATAGAATACGTAACTAAAATGTCAGAGCTGTAAATTAGGTCGCACAAAATTATATATCACAATTTAGTGATCCGAGATTATAAACTATTTCGGCTTAGTTTCTACCTAGGGTTGCTAAATTACCGTAATTTTACGTAATTTTGCGTAATTTTGTGTAGGTTTTTGTAAAACGGTTACAATTTTATTAGTAAAAAGGTTTGAAACTCGCAAAATTTCACAAAATTACATGAAAATGTAAAATTGTAATTTATGTAACACAACCCTATTTCTACCTATGTTTTGGCATTTGGCATTGCCTAAAGCCAAAATTAATGCCGCAAGTGTCAAAAAGTGCCGAAAGCCTAAAATATGGTCAAATTGATTACATCATTATATATAAAAGTATTATTCGTTACATCAGTTAAATAAATTTATTAAAAGAATTAATGAATTTGTAACCGTAGGTTACTGTACCCGTAACCAGGTGTAACGTGACTATCAAACCAAATTTTTTTTTATAAAAATAAAACTTCACGGTTAAAGTTAGAGTTAGGGTAAGGCTTGGTTAGGGAAGGCATGGATCATATCAAAATTTAGCAAGGAATTTTTTTTGTTTGAACGTAAAAGATGGGTTTATAGTCAAAATTTGAGTTATTAATGATTTTTTTGGTTTGATTTCACGTTACACCTAATCTTAGTTATGGTTACAGTAACCTGGTTACAAATTTATTAACTCTAAACAAAAATTTCTTCGGATCGTAGCTGCTTTGATATTTAAACGTTGTTCATAAAATAGTGTATCGTAAACATAAATAAATACAGTAGCTATAAAATAGGTTTTAGTTTGCTAAAATGTATTTATGCTTATATTAACTATGTAATTCTAACTAACAATTCCGAGATTTATAATGCTTCTAATAAATTTAAATTGCGGCTTTTAATTTAAATTATGGAATTCATATATATTTTAGTTTTAGCTTTATGTTGTAATAGTTGCGACTCTATTTCTACTAAAAAATCGATGTTGAAATAGTTTCGGCACAGCCGCAACTAGTTTCTACGGCATAATATCCGAAACACGACCGCACGGCTTTTTTACCAAAATGTGTTTTAGAATTAAAATATTAAAAGGTTAAGTTCAGTGTTTTTAGACAAACCATTTTTTTATTAAAAAGGTTTTATCTGTGATTAGGATTAAAATCGCCTAAAATAGTAATGGGTGGTTTAATAATTTCAACATTAATGTTTTGCAGTTTTAACAGTGTTGCCAGTAATTTCAATAGTGGGCTGTGATTTTAATAGCACGATTTCAATAATACGAATGGGTTCATAATTTTCAAGCAAGTCCGTGATTTCAATATTGGATTGTTAGTAACTTTAATATTGGGTGAAATTGTGATTTTAACATTAAATAGTTTGAAGATGGTTAGGTGATTTCAAAGATTCCAACGGTAGCTAAATTCATAATATCAGTGAATTTACAATTAATTTGTGATTCAATACTCAATTTAATGTACATTCAAACTTACTGATATTTACTCTTGCATAACTATAACTTTTCATTATTAATATTGACTGTTATACAGTATGAAAGCATAAATACTGTTAATTATATAAGTTTGTGTTGCATTATTTAGAATTTTTTTATGCATAAGTAAAATGTTGGTCGCGTAAAAAACGCAACCTCGATTCATAGTAAAATAAGTAATGAAATTGAAAAAGAGAAAATTTGTATTTTTGTTATGCTAATTGATGATTTGATAATATGTAAAAAATTATCCAATAATAATTTATTCAATTGCAATCCCATATTCTATAATTACTTATGTATATACAACAATTAAGATGTAGTCATCGTAATTGACATGCTCTGGTGTTTCTGATATTTGGGTAATCCAAATACTAAGAACATTATAATTCCTTGAAGTCCCTCAACCCAATCAGTTATAATCACTTCAGTTGGAATAGGGTGGTTATTTACAATATCTATAACAGCAGATATACTTGCAAATATATTAATAAGTGCAAAGAAAGATGTAAAAAGTACCATACGCAGTGCGGCTATTTTTGTCATGTTATAGCTAAGGCAAGTCCCTGAGAGTCCTGTGGAGGATGGGGGCATAACTATCAGTCGAGAAGTATGAGGTCGTGGTGGTAGAGTCAATAATGCGTCTTGTGGTTGGTAAACTGAATTATTTTCAATGTTATTTAAGACATTTGACAATTCTTCATTTGATCGTTGATTGGAAGGATCTAAATCTGTTATCGGGTAATTTATTTGTCGATACAGATCTATAATTGATAACAAATCGTCGCTTCTTTGCCTGTAGGAAGGATCTAAAAATTTGATAGGTGGGTATTCTACTTGTACTTGATTTTCCAATATTGGATCTTTGCTTTTATAGCTTGCATTAGTAGAAACTGGATCTCTGCTTCTATGACTTGCGTTAGAATTCTTGAAACATTTCAGATGTTTAAGTACCACATAAGTAGAACGACCTATTTAATGATTATAAAAAAAAGATATGAATCATTCATTATTTACTCAATAATACATTCCCATTAAATAAAAATAAAAAATGAATATTTACCACTTAAATAAATACCGGGAATACTAATCAATAGATTAGTTCCATAATCTGCGAATAATCGAATCCATGATGGAGAAACAATATTACTAACAATAAAATAAAATTATTTATCAATGAAGTGCCAAAAAATCGTAAACAATAATATTAATTAATATACA